ACTAAAAATGAGTTGACTAAATTCTGACAATATTTTATAACAATCCAACTACTAACACTAATTTGATCGGGTACATATCGCGATCAATTTCACGGTTTCAAATGTGTACACACTCTTATGTCTACTAGTGGTGGTCTCGGGTTGTTACAAATGGTATCAGAGGCAGACATCAGGTAGTGTGCCAACAAGGACACTAAGCTTTGAAGGTAGTGTGCCAACAAGGACACTAAGCTTTGAAGGGGAGTGATTGTTGGGCCTCGAAGATGGTAGATTGTGAGATCACACGTCAATTGGAGAAAGGAATGAAAGATTCTGGTGTGAAAATTAGTCCCTTTAAAATACATATTTATATATTTTTTTTTTTTTCCAAAATTTATACTGAATTTTGATTTTTTTTTTTAGAAATACAGTAATAAATCAAACAAATTTAGTGTTTTAAAGTTTATAATTTCGAAGGAAAAAAAAAATAAAAACTAAATAATATATATAAAATAATTTTGAATTTTTGGTACGAAAAAATGGCAGTCAAGAAAAATTGGGGGCTATGGGTGAAATGGCGGATATCAACATTTGTACATTTTCATCGCTCTTCGCCCCATGTGGAGGGTTTCATTATTGACTACAGATCGAGCAAAGCTTGAAGTAAATTTTCGCCAACTTCCATGTGAGTTTCTCTGTTGGTTGATACTTACAACCTCTACTAATTTCTGTTTCTTTTTACAACCAAACATGTCCTCTGCATTTAGAAAATTGAATAATCGCGAGAAAGAACAGATTGATTTCAATTTCTAAGTCCTTTCTTCTTCAAATCGCAGCTTGAGAGGTGAAAAATCTGACAGGAAATCGAAGGATTTGATGTAAATTTTGATTAAAAGTTGCCGACTCCATTGCCACTGTCACGTATGGGACAACCATTCAGAATTTGGATAGGGATTCCAAGCTGTAACCAATTGAGCATTGTCTGGTAATCAAATCTGAACTAATATCCCCATTATTTTCATATCGTATTCGAAACTAAAATCTGCTCATCTCATCATTTTGTTACTTTCAACCATTTCTGTAGGGCTTTGTTTATTCATGTTACTGAAAAATTAGGTTGAGAATTGGTTAATTGAGAGAATGATACTGAGTTTATAAGTAAGGAATATATCTTTATTGGTACGAGACTTTTTGGGAAAATTAAAAGCAAAGCGAGAGATTTTGAAGTGGACAATATTATACCATTCTGAAAATTCGTGATTCCTAATATAGTATCAGAGCCATGCTCTTAACTTAGCCATGTCAATAGAATCCTCAAATGTTGAGTGACTCAAGTGTCGAACAAAGGGTGTACTTTGTTCAAAGACTCTAGAGGAGTCGAGCCTCGATTAAGGGGAGGCTGTTCGAGGACTCCGTAAGTCTCGGGGGAGGCTCTATAGTGTACTTTGTATCTCCATTGGTATGAGATCTTTTGAGGAAACCAAAGCAAACTCATGAGAGCTTACGCTCAAAGTGGACAATATCATATTATTGTGGAGATTTGTGATTCCTAACGCACCTATCTGATAAAGAAGGCTGGTGCGTGTAATTTTTCCCCAGGTTGGCTAAATTTATCCAAAAACTTGTTAGCAGATTGGAAATTTAATGAAGAATTATGGCTTTTCCAAATTGTGTCTTTAGTGTAAATTAGGTTGATATGGGAATTATGTATGCTTTTTGTTGGTGGGTGGTGGCCAATATTGATGATCTGATCAGTTTGTTTTTTCTCACTGTCTTCCTAGTTCCCACTATAATTCACACACTATTTTTTTAGAGTCAAGTGGCAATCACAACATGTTTTGCTTTGAAAAGTGTGTGAATAGTTTTATCCCACCCATAAGTTCAAATTAGTTTTAATGTTTCAAACTGTTTCGTTTGTTTGAAGAACTGTCTTCAAACTATTTCTTTGTTTTCTTTTTCCTTTTAGAACAACCTTTTACAATCATTGTGATGTATGACTGATGAAGGTTAGTGTTTAGGTATCGATTCGAACTACGATTCTCAAATCTTTGATTTAGGATACCTTAGAGATGCAACTATAACCTCGCATCGATTAGAAGTGAAGAAGATCTCGAGTAAAATATCTCTGATTCGTAGATGATGCTTCTTAGGTAGAGTTCAAAAACAAAATTTATGAGTTCAAGTCGAAGGGGGACTCGTTATTCGAAGACCATATTTAATCATATACTAAGTATGTCAATTTTCTAGGACGATTTTTGTGTCTTTTGCTCTGTACTTTCACATGAAAATGAAAGTTTAAGTCGTGAATCTTAGTCTTTTTCCATGAAACTTTAGGATCTTGAACAATTGGTTTCTACACCATCTGAAAAAACAAAATTCCTAATCAGACCTGATGACTTTAAAGTATCGAGTTCAACCTTTTGAAAAAGGTAACAATCCAAGTCCACTTTCTAGCAGATATTGTCCGCTTTGGTTCAATTACGTATCGCCGTCAGCTTCACGTTTTTAAAACGCATCTATTAGAGAAAGGTTTCTACACCCTTATAAGAAATGCTTTGTTCCCCTCTCCAATCGATATGAGATCTCTAATACTACAATAGAACAGTAGGTCTTAGCCTACTAGGGAGAGGTTTTCACACCCTTATAAGAAATGTTTCGTTCATCTCTCCAACCAATGTGAGATCTCTAATACTGCTGTAGAAGGACCGGTCTTAACCTAATAATTTAATTAAGAATAGCTTATTTATGATTTTGGTTTACATAATGATTTCTTTTTTTTCTTTTACCAATTACCTCTCTTTTAGGACCAGTCTCATCTTTTGATGTAGATTATTAAATTAATCTTAACCCAAAAAGCATAGAAAATTAAACCAAACCCCACCAGCTACAAAGTAAAAGCCTTGAAAAGAAGCATAATAAATGGTAGGCACTCAAGGAAGGGGATGAAATGAAGGGGAACCCTGCAAAATGAAAGAGTACTCTAAATAGAGGAGAGGAGCCAAACACTTGGCAACAAATGAAGGGCTGAAAGGAAGCCATGGAACTGTCCTTTAGCAGTCACACAGAAGAGAGGAACGGTAACAACTCAAGTCCACTGCTAGCAGATATGGTCCTCTTTGGACTTTCCCTTTTGGGCTTCCCCTCAAGATTTTTAAAACGCGTCTGCTAGAGAAATGTTTTCACATCCTTATAAAAGGTGTTTCGTTGTCTTCCCCAACCGATGTAGGATCTCACGACAACGGTTGAAAAGGGAACCTCCTACCAAAAACATGTAACAGAATTCCCATTCAGTGGAGCACTAAAGGAGCAGCTGAAAAAGGCTAAAATTCAATCTCTTGGAAAGTTACAAACTCGACCCATGTGCTCTGTTCTATTCCCATCCTCTTCTTCTCCATTATTAGTCTTCCTTCCTTTTTATGTCAAAATATTACCTCTCTGTCTGAAAGTATGCAAACTTCTTACCATAGAGCTTTTTACTTTTACCCTCACCTTTTTGCCTAAGAGTACCAACTTTACCATGCCCTTTTGCCACATATTTGAGTTGGATGATGTTCATTGCTTCCTTCAATGGGCATAGAGAAAAGTCGTAAAGCTGAAGGTTCTCCACTTCAAAAAGGATATTTCGTTTGCCATCACAAAGATTAAAAGTTGAATCTCGAATGACCATTTTACTGTGAACTTTTGTTGGTAAAACTGTCATTATTAGTGGATGAATCCCTCTTCATTTAAGCCAAAGTTGAGTTTTTTTTGGAACAAATGTCTCTTAGTTCTTGAATTTGTCAGTATTATTAGACGAGAGTCAAGACATCTCTCATTTTCTATCTACTTTCTATGACCAATTCAAAATTTCTGATATCCTTTTACTCTTTAATCTTGTTTTTCATGTTATTCTTGTTCAAATGTATATCATCAACGAACCTCATCTAACCAAGTTATGGTCCGTGTTTATTTAGTTTTTCAACTTTCATAAGTACATTTTTTTAACGATTGAAATTTTCATTTTTTAAATAAATTAGTTGATTTATTAAATATAATTTCAATTTTTATATGGTAGATGGATAAATTTAAAAAAATTGTAAGTTCAAAGACTAAATTTATAATTTTGAAAGTTTAAGAATCCAATAGACACGTAATATTATTATATCTTAAAGTTTTAGCTTATATTTTGAATTCACTTTTTTTTTTTCATTTTTTTTTTTATCGAGAATGACCTTTAAATATCTTTTCAAAATTTGTGAGGAAGTAAACAAAGAAACAATAAAGGAGGGTGAATGATGAACATTTTTGTTCAAAATAAGCCTAATTTAGTTAAGGTTTCATCAGGTACCTAGGAAAAATGGGTATTTTTTTTGGGGAAAACAAACCATTTTCCCCAAATAATATCAATGATTTGAAGAACACTTGCATTTTAGCCTTTTAAGGCTGCCAAATTATAAAGAAAAAAGCATATGCTATATATGGGCATTTATTTAAATTATGTTCGATGTACTTTTTCTTTATTGTTCTAAATATTGATTTAATTTTAGTGGCTGCAGAAATGAAGAACCATCCCCGAATCCTTACTGAAAAAATCTATCCTTATTAAATGGAGTTATCTAGATCCTTATCGCATTAAGCCCTCTTTGGTAAATCGAAAGCCATAGTTCGTATATACAAGGTCAAAGGTTTGAATATTCACGACAAATATGGGACTCAAGAGTGTTAGATGAATGACTCTGATACCATGTTAGATGAACACGACTCTCTACAATGGTATGATATTGTTCACTTTGAGCGTAAACTCTCGTGACTTTGATTTGGGTTTTCCCAAAAAGCCTCAAACCAATAGAGAATAGTATTCCTTAATTATAAACCCATGATAATTCTCTAAATTAGCCGATGTGGGGCTTTCATCCACCAACACCTCCCCTCGAACAAAATACGTCTCTTCTTAATCGAGGCTCGACTCTTTTTCTTTTGGAGTCTTAGTCATTTTTTACTATGCCTTCAAGGAGCTTTGACTTCTTTTTCTTTTGGAATTTTTTGTTTGACATTTGAGAATTTTATTGACATGACTAAGTTTAGGGTCATTTATCTAATACAGAATGAGAGTCATTCATCTAACTAGAGAACACGGGAACACAAGAGAACAAAAGAAATAGAAACTTGATGGGAAATTAGTGATCAAAGTTTTCCTAGTATTAATCCTGATTAATTGAATTGCTAGTTTTAAGGAAATAGGGGTTGTCCGTTTTGTTGGAAGCTGATTTTTGGTTCATGGAGGAAAGGCCCCAGAAGCCGTCACTGTCAATTATTAATCCCAATAACTCCATTACTTGATCTCTCACCCAAAATGGATTGAACCATATCTTGGATTTCATGTAATTAAATTTTTTATCCAGTTTTTTGAGTTTTTTTTTTGCTTACGTAAGAATCTCAAGTCCACTGTTAGTAGATATTGTCTGTTTTGATTGGTTAGTTATTATCAGCCTTTTAAAACATGTCTATCGTGGAGAGTTTTCCACACCATTTCTAATCATGTTTAGTTTCTTTCTTCGATTGATGTGAGATCTTATAATTCACCCCTTTGAGGGCCAGTGTTTGCACAGAGAATATTTCGTTCCTCTCTCTAACCGAGTCTATTAGGGAGAGGTCTCCACACCCTTTCTAACAATGTATCGTTTCTTCCTTCAATCGATGTGGGATCTCATAATCCACCCTCTTGGAGGCCAGCGTCCTCACGTAGAATGCTTTGTTCCCCTCTCCAACCAATGTGAAATCTCACAATCCACCCTCTTGGAGCAAGGGGCCAATGTCCTCGCAAAGAATGTTTCGTTCCCCATCCAACCGACAAGATATCTTATAACTTACTTCTTTGGGGGCCAGCGTCCTCGTTGGCACACCACTCGATGCCTGACTTTGATACCATTTATAATAGTTCGAGCGCACTGCTAGTAAATATTGTCCGCTTTGACCTGTTTATGTATCGTGGTTAGTCTCATGGTTTAAAACACATCTACTAGGAAAGGTATCCACACTCTTATAAGTAATGTTTCGAGTCAATTGGTTTGGTAGAGAGATAATATTCAAATGAGGTGATTTCAAATTTGAAGATGGTGAATCTGTAACAGTGGGAGAACAAGCTCTGTTGTAGCTTGTATGCATGGCGATAGAGATAGAGAGAGACAGAGAGAAAAAAATGGAGAGAAATAGGTCAATTTGAGGCTGTTTAGAACCATTTAGTATGTTTCATGTTCACCAAAATTATACAGAGAGAAACAGAGTGGGCCATTGCTTGTCTCTCCCACTTTTTGCCAACACAAAAAATGAAAAATCATCTATAAAAAGTTGCCCTGAGTCATCATCTTCCTTCAACAATCTGTTCTTCCAAATGGGAATTATGGAATTCCATCAAACTTTTCATAATTCTGACCAATTTTCTTCTTCTTCTTCTTCGTCTTCTTCATGTCTGACCACTTTCAAGGGCCATTCTTCTTACATCTCTTCTCTAACTCTCGCCGGAAAATTCCTTTATTCGGGTTCCTCCGACAAGGAAATCCGATCATGGAGACGAAGCCCATCACAAGAATTTGAATCAAATCATGAAGAGTTTCAAAACAATATGGTTACAGCCGGACATGGCGCAGTGAAATCTCTAGTGGTTTCATCTGACAAACTCTACAGTGCCCATCAGGATCAAAAAATTCGCGTTTGGAAAATCTCAAACGAATTCGATCACCACCAAAAGTACACGCGCTTGGCCACGCTACCGACGCTCGGCGACCGGACGGCCAGGCTTTTGATGCCCAATAATCAGGTACAGATCCGCCGGCACAAGAAATGCACATGGGTTCATCATGTCGATACGGTTTCAGCTCTTGCTCTATCAAACGACGAGTCGCTTCTCTATTCCGTCTCTTGGGATCGGACTCTCAAAATCTGGCGGACTTCCGATTTCAAATGCTTGGAATCCGTCGCCGGAGCTCACAACGACGCCATAAACGCTGTGGCGATCGCCGGCGACGGCGACGTGTACACTGGATCAACGGACAAGAGGATCAAAGTGTGGAGGAAAAACCCAGATGGGAAAAGGCATTTTTTGGTCCAAACACTCGAGAAGCACAGCTCGGGGATTAATGCCTTGGCCCTCGCCGGAGATGGGTCGGCTTTATTTTCCGGCGCCTGCGACAGGTCTGTTCTGGTTTGGGAAAAGGAGGAAGAGGGTGGGTTAATGGAGTATGTGGGTATGTTGAGAGGCCATTCGAAGGCCATATTGTGTTTGACCGTGGTGTTAGATTTGGTCTGCAGTGGCTCTGCAGACAAGACGATCAGAATTTGGAGAAGGGCGGTCGCCGGAAATTATGTCTGTTTGAGGGTTTTGGAAGGGCATAACGGTCCGGTGAAGTGCTTGGCGGCGGGGGTTGATCGGTGCAACCAGAACGACAGGTCGTTTGTGGTTTATAGTGGTGGTTTGGACTGTGATATTAAGGCGTGGCAGATTTCTGTTCCTCTTGTTTAGATTCAAATTTTTGTGGAATTTTTGGGTTCTTTGAGGAATTTGCGTATATGTTTATGAAAGAATTTAGTGCATTTTTAGTTTTCATTTTAAACTTTGTATTTAATAATTATTTGACCAAATCAAAATTTTAAATTTAGTATAGTAAATTATTAATTTTTTTTTAAAAAAAAACATTGATACTTTTAGACGTGAAATTTTAAGGAAAAGAAAGTCTTTTTATTTAATTATTGTGGATATTATTTTGTGTGTGTGTTTTTTTTTTCCTTTCTTTCAATTGTGTTTGGTTAGATAGAATGAAATAAAGTTGGATAAATGTCATCACTCTTGAGAATTAATTAGGCTTAAATTGTGGAATTATAGTTGTTTTTAAGTGATTTGGTTAGCGTGTGGACCTAATGTGCTATGTGCTAAAAATTAGACTTTGTTAATAATAACAATAACAAAAAAAAAAAAAATAATAATAATAAATAAATAAAGATGACCCATAAATTTCAAATACTTAGGGTTCGAATCTAATCATTAAACTATATTGAAGTTGAATATATTTTATTTATGTCGGGTGCTTTTAATTTGAAAATAAAATTCAATAAACCCTCAAAACTCCTATTCCCCCTATTATATTTGTTTAGTCAAAGAAATGGAGCTGCAACCAAGAAACTAAAATGCTAATATTATTGTCCAAAATCGAATAAAAAGTCCAAAACAAAACACAATCAATTTCTTACACCCATGAATGTTTAATATATATATATATATATATATATATCATTTTAAATCAATCATGTGAAAAAGAAAAAATTATCATTTTAAGCCTATCAGAGCGTTCCATATGTGTTAAAAGACTTAAGTTTTTCATTTCTCATCTCCAACTAAAATAATAAATTCCAAAATCTATTAAAGAATTAAAGAAAGATTAAAATTAAAAAAACCAAAAAAACAGTCCACCATCTTCCAGTTGCAATTACCTAGAAACAAACCCCTTTTAAAAAATTGCAATTATCTAAAAACAAAAGAATTTAAAAAAGTTGAAATTCAAAGTGAAATCAGATTCAATCAATGGGTCCCCAATCAATTGAAGTAGTTAAATGGGAGCATAACTGTACATTAAAATGCTAAATATCCAACTAAATGCTATAATAATCATGATTAATATTCTATCAAATGAATGAATAAATGCAACTTGCTCCAAGAAACACCGACCCATAATCCAATCAAACAGCCACCCAATTTGTAATATATATTCATCAAAAGACAATTGGATGCAATAAAAGTACAAATTAGTGCCAAAAGAAGAAAGAAAAAGCTAAAATGATCCCTTTTTTGCAATATCTTTTCAACACTTAACCTTTCTTGTGGGAGTGGGGGGATTCATAAATTGTTTTGCAAACAAGAATTATTTGGATTGTGGGGGGCTCTATTGGTAAAAAGAAATCATATAGGGTATGGTCCATAATTAAACTACTAATGCTGACATTCATGCAAATAATTAAAATCTAATTCTTCTTAGAATTCTCAGCATTTTCAGAGAGAATTTGTCAGTTAATGAAGCAAAATGTTCACATCAAACTAACTTTAAAATTTAGCAAGACAGAATATGCATCACTATGGGAAGGACTGATGCTGCATTTCATATATAATATGATTAATTATTGAAAGAGGAGCTGACATCAAATGCTACTTTCTGAAGGAAGAAAAGCAAGGAACATAAAATAAGGTAAATTAATAAGGGTTATTATTGTACCATGCAAACGTGGCAGCCAAATATCCCAAAGATCCACTGAAATATCTTCTCACCTGAAACAATATGTTATGAACAACTAAAGCTCTCCAAAGACTTTGCCTATTGCTTAGCATATTACAAATTTACAGGTCGACGGAGGTTAGGAAACGGTCATTTTTCACATAACAACCTAATTCCCTTCGATTTTCCATCCTTTATTTGTTTTATGCAAAGTTGGTCAGTAACTCTATAAAATCAACTAATTCATGATTGCTAACATAACTCAAAGATTAAGGCGTTGAAATTTTCACATTCATATTCTTAAAACTAGAAAAAAAAAATGATAACGGTTTGACTAAGTAATAAAAGGAATACACATTAAATAACAAGTTTAGTTTTTTAACTTCAAGGATTGTATATATTAAGTTACTGAACGTTCGAAAGTGTGACAAATTTAAAATTTTAAAAAATGAATAGAATTATTATATATAAATTTGAATCCTAAAACTTTCATATATTTTAAAAAATTTAAGAGTTCAATAAATAAATTTGTAATTTAAAAATTTAAGAACTGAATAAATTCTAACCTTGATTTAAGAACCTATATAAACCTATATCTAGAAGGGAAAAACAACATTATCTTATCCTCGTCATGAAAACTAAATTGTACACCTACATTAACCCAGGGAGGGAAAAGACAATTCATCTGCATTCATTTAATCATTCACCAAAAAGTGATCGCACAAAAGTCACAAAAAAACAATATAAGATAAATGGATGGACACGATTCTTCCAAACAAAACCCGTCTCCAAAAACTAAATGAGATTTGCATGCTGCTTGGAATAAACAAGATTATCTCCAACAGTAACTTCGTTACTTTTGACTAAGACGGTGTAAATTAATTTCAAACTTGGCCGTTTAGCTAAAACTCGTCATCCAATAAGACATGGAATCCAAATATCTATTTATTAATCAGTTTCATAACTCAAATCAAGTTATTCTAAATAGCGAAAGAAATCAAGTTGATTAGCAATTTGAAGTAATAGCCTATGCGCTTTATACCTGGCGACACCTTTTCCTCCCGGCGAATCTTTCCAGGTTGGGTTCAGCAAGGTTTATTCCCCTGTCCTTGACATAAGAGCAGTGATTAGATGGCAATCAATTTACAGCTTAAAGCTAAGAGGAAAATCACAAAACATCCATCTTTTAGGATGATCAGAAGCTCTTACCAATAAAATATTCCATAAAGCAACGCCCCCCATGCCTCAACAAGGATTATGGCAAGCAAATGGCAATTGGCAAATGATTGGACATACCACAATATTTTCTAATAATATATTTTAGATACTCTCTAAATTAATAAGACGGTTCATCGTCTTTCTGTCACCAATTTTTCAAAAACTCAATTTATTTAATACTCTTAGGAAAAATAAGAGCTCATACTAAAAGGTAAGGCACATGATAACAACAAAGCGCTATATATATATATATATATATGTATGTATGTATATGGTCACTAGTAGCAGTATAACTTAGCCACTTTCAATTTGAACTACAGTACTCATTTTTTAGAGGAAAGACAACAACGAGATAGATGAACTTTTAAGTGCCTGAAATATCAATTATGTTGACTCACTAAGCATAAATTAAATCAGTAAACAACTAGACAGGAAAAATAGCAAAAGGGAAAGATTTTCACCAATCCACGCACGCACATCAGAATATTTGAGTCACCTGCACTTTCCTTCACTCTGGCCTCCCCGCCCCTTTACGCAAGGCTCTTCGGCAATTTCCTTCAACCATTGCAACCCAGGTACTTATATTCAAGATCTAACTAAAGAAAATCTGATTCAACCACGAACACACTTACCATTGTCATTTATATTTGGTAGACACGCTAAAAGCTAAGTCATTTATATTTTCTTCCGTGGAATTCATTCAATTATAACTAGAGAAATTGATGAACTTGATGGAGACATGTGGCGGGAGAGAAAAAGAAACAAACACTGGGAAACTTAAGTGGATGTCGAAGAAATAAAATCAACGTCTAAATACCAAAGCGGAAGTTGATGAAGAATTTGTTAATACTAAGTTAGTATTAACAAATAAAATGATCAAATACTAAGAATTTGATATTGATAGAGAAACATAATGTGATATTACTTCAAGGATCAAACTATAAATAAAATTATCCAGTATGGTAGTTGAGATATTAACTGTAAATCAAAATATTGATAGAGAAAAAATTTTCTCCACAAGATTACCAGATTAAGATGCATGCAAATTATACTAACAACCCATATATAAGGATCAAAGCAAATCCAGTCAAACCAAACACTAGAACAAAGATTCCGACTGCAAACAAAAATCTAAGCCAATAAACAAAATCAGTGGAATAAAAATTCACCGGAAGGGGTGTAAGTTCCAAATATTCAACGGTAAATCGTACTGATAGAGTAGACATCACGTTCATATAGATAAGGCAGCAGAAATTGCCAGCTTCAGAAAGTTTCTTGTAGTTTAAGTGCATACTGGAATATCTAAGTGGGAGTTTCTAGAAAACAAACTATCAATAGGTTAAATGTAGGAGTTCCTTTTCAGGAAGTGACCTCTGTACTATTGTTTACTTTATAACAACTTTCAAGGACACACAAATCTGTTCATTTTTAATTGTACACATGAGATTATGACATTGCAAGAAGATCAGTAGATATACAAGACAAACACACCTGGGAAAATTCCCGGTAAGGAGGCACCCATCATTTCAATTGCCTTTTCTGCATTTGGGATACTTCTATTGGATGATGAAAGTCCTTCCCCAAAGCAAAGCTACGAGAGCTTATGCTCAAAGTAGACAATATCATACCATTGTGGAGAGTCGTGTCCGTCTAACATGGTATCAAAGCTATGCCCTAAACTTAGTCGTGCCAATAGATTGGTAAATCCTCAAATGTCGAACAAAGGACTCCAAAAGAAAAAGGAGTTCAACCCTCCTCAAAGGCATAATAAAAAATGACTAAGACTCCAAAGGAGTCGAGCCTCGATTAAGGGGAGGCATACTTTGTTTGAGGGGAGGTGTTGGATGATGAAAGTCCCATATCGGCTAATTTAGGGAATGATCATGGATTTATAATCAAAGAATAGTCTCTCTATTGGAATAAGACCTTTTGGGGGAAGCCCAAAGCAAAACCATGAGAGCTTCTGCTCAAAGTGGACAATATCATACCATTGTGGAGAGTCATGTTCGTCTAACAACTTCTGCCTATCAATACGAAAATTTCTAAAATAAATAAGGTAAGATGAACAAGATTATTTAAAATTAAAATCCAGGAGTACCAATTAAGCATGAACTTTCT